ACAAACGGGCTCACAAACTGACAAGCTGGGAGCGCCCAGCGCCCTGCTCGCTAATTGCTGTCACTTTGCCGAGATTTAGATTCAATTTCGATGGACTTACGAGTACCGCTTCCGTTTCTTTCATTTTAACTCGTCTTCAAAGAAAAAGAAATACAACGGACTCAAACACCGAGAGATCGATGATCAGGTTTCAACGTTCAGCTGGAGCTTACACTGACGCCGAGCGAAAAGTCCTGCGCCACGTCTGGCTGGCCGAAGCGACGCACCGCCAGTGACAGATGTGTCATAATTGGATCCACCAACGCCCACCGGTGATTACTGGAGCCAGGAGGTCCGCTCACGAAAATGGACTCAAGCGTGGGCGGCTGAATGTGTTGAGAACATATCAGCCGGCTGAACATGGATAGGAGCACCGCTCCAGACCAGCCAGTTGGCTTTAGTCGGGCCACGCTGTCAGGCTGGACCAAGGGCTGGACGATGCCTCATGTGAACCGTGCGGCGAACGTGGCGCGAGTATGGCGTCGCCGCCCAGGGGACGATTACGGCGCGCTGGCCGGCCATTTCCGCCGCGCCGGGCGCGCGCCATGTCCGCCTCGGCTGCGGCGAAAGTGGGCTGGCAGCCCCGCTGGCTGGCGGCCGCCGAGCCGCTAACGGTGCGTCCCGCGGCCGCCGGTTACGTCACAGAGCTGCAACACGGCCCGCGTCAGCTGACGGCGGACGGCCAGTGACGTCACTGGGACGGTCATATGACGTCACTGGTCGGCTGCCGGCAGAGGGCAGCACCGCGCGGTCGGCCGAGGGAGGCGGCACGGCACGGCACGGCGGGCCCCCGCCGGCGCCGCGTCCAGTTCTCAGGCTTGTGCAATGTGCAAGCGCCGGATGGCGCTGTTCAGGAGGTATGCAGCGGTTTCATGACATGGCTCCCGCAAGATTAAAGCTTCGCTGTGCAATTGTATATGGCTGAAACAAGGGCGCAAATTGCCTTCACCAGCTTTCACCTGTCCACTGCACTTCCCGCGGGTTCTGAGGGCATGACGTCAGTGAGGCCGGGCGGGGCCACTGGTGACCCGTCTCCAGCCGCCGACCTGGTGACACGGCGGCACACAGGGCGGGTCCGCGGCCGGGGACGGCGACAGACGGCGGCGCACCCTGCCGGCCGGTCCCAGAGGCGGTCCAAGGGACCGGTCCGTGCCGACGAGGGAGTCCACTCTGGGGGCGTCAGGACACCGCCCGACGGCGTCAACACCGACCGCGGTACACACTGCACAACAGCGGAGTCAGTGTCATGTAGTGAAGACGCCCCGAGAGCTTGACATTCCCGAGTGTTTTTACGGAGGAACACTAATGTGACTCTTAAATAATTCCGAAAAAACAGCACATTGCGGGGATATGACTAGCAGCAGGCGGCAGGCAGCGTGCATGTTGCCAACGCGCCAATGATCAATGCAATGCCGATTCCAGCCAAACAATAGTTATCGGATGCGGCGTGAATTACCAATCAAGCAATGACTTGCGTCCTCTAGGGAACAGACTACCAGAAACTACTTGAATCGCCGCCGTAATGAATAGTCTTCAGGCTTCGGCAGAGCTTCGCAGCCAATCTCCGCCAGCCCGCCATGGCAGCAGCAGCCCGTCTGGTACGTGTGAACTCTCCGACTCCCCGACTGTCAAGGCCACCACTTCTCGTGCAGAATCGTCCCACCAAACTGCATGGCGAGCTCCGGGCCAAACAGCCTCGCCCTTGAATCGAGGAAGCCGACAACAGTCGCGGAATTAAAACCAATAGATGTGTTCATTTATCACCACTCGTCTACAGACGGTGAGCTTACTCTGCTTCAGAAATGAAAGCGATGATATTCATCCCTGAGCTCAGTACGCGTTACGCGGTAATGCCTCGCACTCTCTTCCAAGTTCCGATCCGATCGTCTGAAGGTCAAGAAAAGAACTTGTCTTCACTGTGCCTCATGCTTAGTGCCTGATGCCTCCACAAATGATCAAAGGTGAAATGTCCAAAGGCCCTAAGCATACAGCACAATGCACCGCACCACACATCTTACACTGAAATCTTCCACCCAGCCCACGCGACCCCTGAGGTACGGGTTGGCCGTCTCAGATCCGAGCTGGACGGGCTCGGACGCGGCGCCACCGGCCGGGTCTGAATTTGGGCAGCGTGTGGGCCCGAGCCGTCTGTATCTCTCAGTCACGCCGGTCCGTAATACCGAGGAGAACCTCTGTAAGGGCAGAGACTGTCGGCAGGCTCTGAGAGCCCCGTATCCGCCGCGGCCGGACCGACAGATTCTCTGCAGCAGCTGCCGGCCGACTCCCCGTAACGTCCCATGTCACTATCAAACAATCAAATTGGATCGGTTCAACAGAGACGATCAAATAAATCGGTCACTGCTGAAATAAAATTGGATCAATGCCCCGAGCCCCCTAAAGATATACGAGTGAAAGTGATTATCCGGCTCATAGGTTCATGCCTCAAAAGGAGCCGGTCACTCGGCAATACGATGGGAGGCGAGTCTGAGAAGAAAGTCATTCACTGGAGAGGGTCCTCAAAACTAACGAATATGACTCAAACATGGCGAAATGTCTAAATGCGATATCAAACCAGTCTAGAGCTAAAACAATTCCGCAAGTAAGCGACCAGCGAACCCTTCATCAATAAATATAGCCTCAACCGTGACACGGAACATCGCGTGTCAGAGTAGTTTTAACTTATGCTTTGAGACATAAGACTAGAGTCAGCGTGATTCAATAGTAGGCACTAGTGCAGCATCGTACTTCGGATCACCATTCGGATGCACCGTATTGTTTGTTGGAGAAAATTCAACACTTGTTTCGTGATAAGCATTTATCACCCAGACATAATTAGATTCGCACACAGCAGATATAATGAGTTACAGCGTTCTCCTGCTGCGGCTGCGGGCGTCGACCGATGTAAGATCCCAGTTACAGACACATCGGCGTACGCTATACGCCCCCAACTGAGATGGTAAGCGGTCCCATGCGGCGCAGAATCTACACAAATGCAAATACAGGGGGTTGCCTACTGCCTGTTGTTCTTGTGCTAAGAAGAACGAAAGATAAAAAGCATTCTACCGTAAGGAATGGTAAATTGCGAGCCATGACGTCTAACGATCGTATTTAGTGGCGCCGCAATGAGCAGGTAGTGATACTGATCAATGACAGGACTTATAGACAAGTGATTAACCCACAATTATGCATAGATGTACAGACACCAGCACATGAAGAGTAAGGTAGCATCAATAATGGAAGCCATTGGTGTTAATCACTGACACTACAGTGATTGACTGCAGCCATTGTAAAAGTAAAACATTTAAATTATTGTAAAATGTTAAAAGTTCAACTCAATAAATGCCAATAAGGCAGCTATATATGATTCAGAAATGAGAATAGATAAGTGACTACATAATATATCTAATATCTTGTCCCCATTAGAACTAAGGTTTCAGAGATACTTTCAATACCCAAGTCTTGCAGGAAATAGTTTGACTGATGATCATGTTTCTTAAATACCCATTTATTACAACAGGCCAGTTTTGTCAACTTTCAGGTAAGGTTAAGGTTGATGAGCTAGGGTAGACCTGGTATGTCTTTTAGTAGGCACCTCACCCACACACCAACTAAGACGGTAAAACTTCAGGGTAGGATCAATGAATGTCGACTAGATTAGAAAGGTTTGTAGCCCAGTAACTACCTATCAGTCAAGTCTCTTCTTCAATGATATTACTGAGGAGGCAGAAAGAAAATACAACATGGAGTTAGCTCATACTTACAGGGTGGTCTGCTTCTCAAAAGAACTTGACTCTGAGGTGGTGGGCTGTTCTCTTTTTATTTAGCTTTGAGTTAACCCTCCCAGACCCTTGTATTGACTTGAAGGCCAAAGGACCTATTGGCACCAATGGCCAGTCCATTAATTAGAAAACTGATAAATAAGCCAAAAGCATGGAAAAAGAGATTGTTCACACATGCTGATAACCATAAATAGCTGCCACCATTAACCTCGTATGAACAGAAGCAAGATGAAGTAGTAAACATGCATTCAAAGGAAGACTATGACTAGACAAGTGTTTAAATTGCCTACCATACCTCACACTAATAGCTCTGGCAGCAGAGTGTTTGCACCTGACCCAAAAGGGTTGCCAATTTTGAATAGTTGCTTAACATATAATTATCACAGCTGCAAAGTGCTAATTGCATCCTTAGGTATTCACTTTTCACAATATTTAAATTAACTGAGAAATGCTCTCAATGTTACTGGAAAGCGTACATATTTCTGTATACGCTTTTTAATAAATTTAGTCCGAACCTTTTGATAGGAAGGATCCACAAGGACAGAGCCACCACTAAGCCAAACTTGTTATGGCGACTCTGCCCTCTACCCTCCGATCACGCAATTCCAGTTCTACAGCAGAATTTAGAGTACTAAGTTTAACGTGCACACATATCCGTGCGGCGCTCACAGCCTACTCATGCCATACCTAGTTAGGGCAGGCCCACACCTAACTCATGGGTCTGTCATACAGCATAAGCATAGTTCTGAGACATATCAACAGCATTGTTTTACTTTGGGTTTCATTTTGAAATTAGCATCAACACCACATTCTCATGCAACATCTGTCAGCATACATCAGACACATTTATGAGTGACCTAGCTCATTCTCTACACACAAAAATAATAATAAGGCAGTGCAAGCCGCAAGGAGTTCGAGAAATATACCTCAGTATGTTGATGTTTATCATCACGCCAGCAAACTAAAATGTCAATCGCATATGCATTGCATAATGAAGCTCACATGGTGATGGCACATGACTATCCTATCCTTGTCTCCTGCTTTCAAACCAGAGTAAAACATAAGCTACTTCAACTTCTTTGTGTTTCCTAACAAACAACCCAATCAAATTATCAAGGAAATAATGAACAGCCAAGCAAAATGAAAAGTTGATCGCATAACACACAAAATGATAAGGCTCACCTTTTGACGATGACTCGTTTTTCTCTTCTTCTCAAATCAATCTGATCAAGAGTACGACATTACTCTACAATAACTCTTATAAGAGTTCGCTTACAAATAACCCAAACAACCCAAAATAACAAATAAACTAACGAAATAACCCACTAACAGGCCCATGTCGTCCCCTATCTCTCTGCGTGTCCACTAACACGAATGACGTCACGCATGTGGGCGGAGCTATGGGCGGAGCCTAACGCACGCGGCAGTCCAAGCCGCCATATTTGAATTTATATTTTAATAGAATCTTGCCGATATTTTGGGTGAAGTCAATTTATATGGATAGCTTGGTGACAGTTTAGCTATACGAATAATAATTTATTATGGATGTGCGTATGTTCAGCTTGGAATTGCAATTAAAGTTCCACACCGCATAGATTCGAACTCGGGACCTTTGGAATACTGCGCGGGCACGCTAACCACTACACTACCGCGACCGCGCGGCGGCCGGCGGCAGGGAGGCTGCGGAGACATGGGGGGACATTTTACGCTTTTATGAAAAAAGCAAAAGATTTAGCGAAAAACACGTAATAGATAACTTGCAGAAAATTGTCTGCTCTTTCAGATAAGATACTTAAGTTTGATATATCTTGTGCAGACTTCATTCTACAGTGCTTCGAAAATCGCTCATTTACATGAGGATTGAACGGGGCTTCGAGACTTGACTCCAAATGACGTCACGAGCTGACGTCACGAAAAGGTAGAATCGCCGGACGACCCTACCTGGTATATAGGGCCTTGCCCACTAACACAGTGACTTCCATTCGTCGTTCATTGCCAAGTGCGCCAAATGGGGTAGCCCTGGAATTGCTACCAAATGCGTTTGTTTTAGAGCTTTCGTCGAAAGAATGCGACTTTATCATAAAATGTCTTTATAATGCTATGATGCTAGAGATAATTTTTAAAAAAAAAAATTTGCAAGAAAATTTGAAGAAAAAAATCGAAACAGGCTATCAAATTATTTTAGGCTAGCATAAAGACGGCTAGCTACTCTTTACCTTACCTTACCTTACCGAAAGAGTCACCTTAACTTAGCCCGCGCCCCGCTGGGGGGAGGCAGAAATAGAATCTGCCCCCTCCCATTTTTCGCCAATAACTTAATCTAAACGCGTTACGCCAGGGACGTCAAACTTTCAGTACCTTATCATACATCAATGTAAGACGTTCCCTGAAAATTTGAGCGAAATAAATTGAAAAATATTGGAGAAAATGACGTTTTAGTGACGTCATGTTCGCCATGTTCGCCACAAAAACGGCAAAATTTCAAACGCCGCTAACATCTTCATTTTTAAAGGAATCAAGACGTAACAATAAGGTTATACGTGATTCTATACTTTGTCTATCAAATGGCTATCTCGGTTTTTGAAAATTTTGGATTTTGGACCATTTTTTCTTCAAAAGCTGACTTTTTTTTGGAAAATAATTACAAAATTCAAAATCTTGAGTGTATCGAGAAAAAAACGGAATATATGTCAGAAATGTGGTCTATGTGCACCTACCTACCAATTTTTAGAACAGTGGTCGGCAGGTCATTCGGGGTCGTGCCCCCTTTTTGGGCGCCAGGCAGGGCCATTACTCCCACCTACCAGACCCCATTGCTGACACAACCAAGTTTACTGAAATTCCATACCGTCCTGGAACTCTTTGGGTATTTGTGCATCTCCAATGCATCAAGTTTAAAACATGACACTTCCTCCACAAAACATTTAATGCCTATATCCCAGTAGCGGGGGAACACCTTCAATTAAGGGGGAGGGGAAGGGGGGGGGGCACTGCTGACTTTTGGTCCCATTCTTTCCATGCAACGCCCATAGGGCTAATGTTAAAATGCAAAAATCAAAGGGTGCACGGTGCCCCGGCGCCCTCCCCGTTCCGCCGCCTATGCTATATCCCATTTAACCCTTGTACGTTTAGGGGCGGCGGGTGGTTTTTCGTTAAAAGCTCACGTAAAAGGCATTGGATCTCGACCAAATTGTACCCTCGAGCCCATCATATTTTTTTTTACCAGCCCGGAAAATACCATGACCTGAGACCAGTTTTACTAACAGAAAAATAACCGCCTGCCGGAATTTTTGCCTCAAGACCGCTTCACATACGGAGCGTAAACGCGATGGGCTCGTAAGCGGATAGGGCTGTACCGTTTACGCTCCATATGTGAAACGATCTTTAGGCAAAAATTCCGGCAGGCGGCTATTTTTCTGTTGGTAAAACTGGCCTCTGGACCCATAATGACCGTTGGCTTATGAGCTTTTTCTGGAGATCATCTTGAGCCATAAACTCTCACTTCAAGGAGTTATAGCGGGTCCCGATTTTCTCGACACTTGTCATTGCCCTCTTGAATGAGACGGAATGACCAAGGACCTTAAAAATGGGCAGCAGCGGCTTCCTATTGTCATGGGTAGCACGCTCGTCTTTTTTATGCACAGCTCCATATCATAGTCCGAGAGGCCGCGGGGGTCCGATCGACTCCTCCCCCTTACGTTAGCGGCTGTTGAATCGCCAACAGACGGGCGACGGTCAAAAGTTGCAGCTGCTTTTGTACGACTGTACGGAGGGGTGAGATGGTGAGGCGAGCAGGTACGTGAAAATTGGTATCTAATCAATGTGTGCTGACTGCTGTGCCTTTGGCCTGGGCTAATCTTTGAACCCTGGGATGCAACAGTCACGATGGCTCCATCACTGGAGCTACAAACTCTAAAAAGATAGGCTTTCTCAGAATCCCTCATTACCCCCACCGAAAGGGTTCCATTACCCCCAAAGGGGGCATGCCCCACCATTTGCCGACCCCTGTTTTAGAAGAATCGGTTCAAAAATGTGGGAGTTGTTCAAAATTTTATGCATTTTTCCACACAACATTTTTGAAAAATAATTTTTTGGAAGTTCTAGACCTCGTACGGAAACAAAAATAGCACCATTCGGCATTCGGTTCGCCGTGAAAAACGGCATCAGATAGACACCTTTTCAGGCCTTAGCAACCAACTTCAAAATTTGACCTCACTTGAACTGACCTCGACCTGACCTCGACGTGAAATTCATCCAGAGGTGGTCCATATCACTTATCGAGTAGCCTATTGAATTCTATGAATAAAATGACCCATAAAACATGTGTCGCACATGCCCTTTTCTATATTTTGTTTTTGGCGACCTGACCTGACCTGACCTGACCTTGATCTTGACCTTTGAATGATATTGTATGCAACGAATATTGTCTTGGTAGCCTAAGAACACGTTTTGGGCAATCAGTCTCAGTCCATTCTTTGGCAACTACGGTGCAAGGCCGATACCTACTGTAGAAACTTGCATTTTGTACCCTTGACCTGACCTTGACCTGACCTCTGACCTACTAAAGCAAAAACATTTGGGCTCTTAAGATCTGCCTTGTTGAGAGCTTTCGATTGCCGTTTTCCCCGTCTTTCTACGACCATCGGTTCGGAAGTTAGACAGGGGGGCAGAATCTGCCCCCCAGCAGGGCGCGTATGGCTGGAGCGCGCGCTGGGCGTTTCATCAGAATTTAGATGGTGATTTGGTGATTTGGCGCTGGGCGTTTGATCGGAATTTAGAGGCCACTTGGCCTGTAGGGAACCGTTCTCATCGAGCTCTTGACATATTTGACCTTTCAGTAACTCCTGAAAGGTCAAAGGGGAAAGTGGGGTATGACGGGCATGTTAGTTTTGCGGGTCTGTACCTCTGAAGTCTTTTCTTCGATTGCTTCACCAATTTAGCACAACCATCTTCAGGCATTTTTCTTTCAGTGCCCCTTTGACACCTAAGGTCTAAATCCAATACTTTTCAATTGAGAGTGTTTTTAGCAAGACCCTGCAAAAACCCGTCTTACCCCACCGGGGAGGGTAAGACGGGCACTGATGTTGGGGCAAGACGGGCACAACGTTAGTTTGAACTTCTTTACATATTTACTGCCGAATAATTATGCTAATACATCTTACACATCTGGCTTTTGATCTTACAGTCAATATTGTAAGGTTCGTAGCATCGCACGGCTACTTATAGGCGTAATGGTATTGATCGATGTAATGAAAAAATTAAACAAATTCAAAGCTGTCTATTTAAATAATTTCGATGGAAATGCGTTGCAAATGATGTAGAACAGCGTAAGTTAGCTTAAAATAACAATATCAGATGGTTTGCATTCCTTTCATCATTGTTGCCCGTCTTACCCCATTCGGCTGCCAATAAGGATATCACACCGCCTCCGGGCACCAAATTAAAGGATTCATTCGCCAGCATACACATTTGGATGACACCCTAAGACGAAACTCTCATCAAATTTCCAAAACAAAATATGAAACAGCGAGGTCAGAAAACACTACGAAACACGATAGTTCTGCTTAGAGTGCAAGGCACGTTTTTAGCTTTTCCACAATTTTTCAAAAACTATTTAAGATGCGTACCTCTGCCTTCACCTCACAGCAAAGAACCACACGGCCGATTACCAACCACAACAAGAGGTTGCTAGCGCCAACGGTTTGGGCTAGAGGGCCGGTGCCCGTCTTTCCTACCCCGCCCGTCTTACCCCACTTTCCCCTATCAGGTACCTATCTTGTATGAGTTGTACCTGATGTTTGCCCAGTGGGCATCCAGTCTTGATTTGAACTGCTCAATAGAAGCAGCGTCCACGACCGTTTGAGGCAAGCCGTTCCAATCATTGATGACACTAGCACTGAACGATTTCCTCCTTAGTCTGGTGTCGCCTCCATGGGCTTCTGGACCTTCTGCGAGTGACCTCGAGCTCGGCCGTCCGTGGCAGCAGTAAAGAAGTCTTCAGGAGCCAAGTCAACGCCTCCGTGGAACAGCTGGGGCATTCCACGATAGATCGCACCAGGCCCATCACCCTCATCTCTCAGATTTTAATGAAAATCTAGGCCCCAAAGACGCCTGGCAGACTTCTCAGATCAAAACTTTTTGAGTTTAGGTACCTATATTGCATTACATTTTTTAACTTCGGTTTGTAACGCTGAGTTTGATGGCCTATAACTCAAGAACAGGTTAACCCTCGCCGGACCTATTGGTTTTCTACATACGCGCCGGCCGAGGGGGGGGGGGGCGGGTACGACCCCCCCCTCGCCGTTTCGCCCCTGGTGGAGCTAGC